TCCCTTCCTGATCCGGGCAGGGTACAACATAGTCATCCCCTTCAAGAACATTTTCTATCATCCAGTCACCTTCTCCTTCATTGTGGAGAACCCAGTCAATGAGTATAGGCTGTGAAATCCAACAGCCTTGGATTTGAACCCTGGCTTCACCACTTACTCTTTGAATACTTTGCTAAAGCTCTCTAACCTTTTCTAGAAATGGTAATAATACCCCAACCTCACAGGATTGCTCGGAGGCCTTTAAAAGATGCATACAAAACTGTTTTCATAGAGCCTAGCTCATAGTACATGCTTCATATATGTTACCTATTATATAATTTGGAATCCAGGTTTAACCACTGAAACAGAAACCCAAAATAACAGCAAAAATAAAAGTTACTCTTCTGTCAGATAACAGTGTGAACGTAAGCAGTTTGGGCTGGAATGGTAGCTCCATGACATCAGGTATCCAGACTCCTTCTATCCTGAGGCACTTCCCTCTGTAGAGAGTTGCTTTGGTCCACAGGGACCAAGACGGCTTACCATGATGTCTGCATTCCAGCCAGCTCCAGGGAGATGGCGGGGAGCTCTATTTATCCCTTCCACTCACATTCCCTTGAACAAAATTGTGTAAGACCACATCTAGCAACAAGGGGAGCTAGGAGGTGCAGCCTCCACACTGGGTTCCATGGCTACAGTCAAGAGGCCCGGGCTCTTGATCAATCATATCAGTCAGGAGAAGCTAGGTTATGCTATAGTAACAAACAGCCCCGATATCTCAGTGGCTTAAAACAACCAAGGTTTGTCCCTCATTTGTGCTACCTATCCAGTGAGGGTCAGCAGGGGACTCTGTTCATCACAGCCATTCAGGGATCCAGGCTGAAGGGCCACCGCCAGCTCAGACGTCTCAGGTCATAGTGCCAGAGGGGTGAAAAGATCCCAAGGGGCCTTGCACTGACAAGCAAGTGCCCTAGTGTGGAAGTGACCCCTTTCACTTCTGCTCAAAACTCACTGTTGAGAACTAGACCCCCCCCATCCATGAGGAGCCAGAGTGTTCAGCCTTTCATGGGTGTGGGAGAAGAGAAGAGCCAGATAGGGGGGCCACTAGTGAAGGCCACACTTCTGTAACCCTGCTTGGTATATCTGGGCAAGTCATTTAACATTGCTTGGCCTCGATTTCTTTGTAGCAAAATGGGTATAATAATTAGTATTACCTACTCTTCAAGGGACTTATAAGGGCACAACTTTTAATGACCTGCCCAGCCTCACACAAACGTAGGTTAGTTGATGTCCGAGAGCGGGTGGGCAGGCGGGGGATGGGCCCGAGCTGCCCGTGTGCTCTGTGGGATCCCTTGTGAACCAAGTGCATTTCTTCCTCTTTCAGACCGACTGTCAAGACTTCCACACGGAAAAGATCATTAACGCAGCCCCAGGGGCTCAAGGAGGCACGGAAGTCAGTGTGGAGGTCTATTTTGAGCCCAGCCACCTGGGCGAGACCAAGGGCATCCTGATGCTGTCATCGATTACAGGCGGGGAGTATATCATCCCCCTCTTCGGAGTGGCTCTGCCCCCGAAGCCCCAAGGTC